TATATATATATATATATATATATATATATTAGATATATTTATATATGAAAAATATATCAAAATGCATGTGGGTACTCAAATGAAAAGTCTCGATGAGTGTAATATCAGGATGAGCTTAAATCTTTAAAAATGTCAATAGTATTCAAGATACAAGATCATTTCTTAATTATGTACCTAGAGATAGAGCATTTTTGAATGCAGCCTAAATACTTATCATCATAAATTGACTATCAGCGAGAATGATATAAAACCTTGAAAAGACACAACTCCAGGTCAAGATCTTTCTAATGATACCAAATTTAACCATAAGAACCCATTTTATCTTATAAATAAAAATTTTTCTTATTCTCTTAATAATATAGATAGTTAATTTTTGACTTTAATGAATTCTAGGTTGACGATGAGTTAAAAAAAATAAAACCAAAGGATCCAAAACTGATGACAGCCAGACAGCGGGCGATGTTTGAGAGAAAAACAGACACCGAGCCAAATCCAGGAGTCGAACAGTTGATGTCCTTGCCTACTGGGTACAAGGAAAAAGTCATGACCGCCGAGGCAATTCAGAAAGCTGCCTTAAAATCTCTAAAGCGAAAGCAGATGGCTGATGAAAAACGGGAAAAGGATAAGGTAGTTAATTATTTTATTTTAAAATTAATTTTTTTAGAAATTAGAAATAATATTTAATTATTTTTAGAAAAAAACTATGGAGAGATTATTGAAGAAACAAGAGTCCAAGACAAAAATAATGTCCAAGGGTAAGATCAAGCGACAAGTACCACTGGTGACTTATAGGATCACCCTTGAAGGTTCTTCTATTTCGCTTCCTCCAGGAGTTGACTTTCCTCTGCCTCCTACTTCAATGTAAGTTTTATTTTTTATGCAATTTGGAATTTAATTTTGGTGGTTAGTAATTAAATTAAATAACAGAGATTGCTTAGCGTAACTTTTGTCAAAAGTTTTTAATCACTTTCTCTTGTTAGTGCAGTGACAGTAGATAATTAGCGAGGTTTATGAAGTATGTTATGCAACGTGTCATACGTCGGCGTGAACATCCTAATTCTAATTTGTAATTAGTTATCTAATTGACGTTTTAACTAGTTATAAGTTAATTTAGTTTCGTGTTACGGAAAATTGTTAATGCTGACTTTCATTTGCTTAATTGTTTAGTTAATGGAATTTAATCTGTGATTGAAAATTTTTTAACAGATTATAAAGTTTATTATGATTTTATTTATTTATTTATTTCTGGATATATGTTCTATAGAAATTTATTACACTTGTCTATAAAAACCAGAAAAATAAATATGAAAGTTACAAATATATACAGTAATCAATCGTGAGAATATATCATTAGTAATTTAATATACAAAATTACAAGTACTATAACAAAATTATTGTACATACATCATAATGATAATGATTGTAATTTACAAAAAGACCATTCGGCAGTCGAAATGGAAGTAGATTTCATCATAAATAGAAAAAAATAATGGATTTTTAGTAAACCGGCGATTAAAAGCTTATTTCACCCTAACTCCGTTATTTATTTACTTACTGCTGGTGTACAGTAAAGAAAAAAAGTTTGGAAAATCCAAAAGTGCACGCCTCATAATCTCATTTTTCACAATAAAATTGATTAAAATAAAATATAAAAAGCAAAATAATAAAAAACAGAAAACTCTGCTATGGTTTAGTGGCGCCATAACTCTAAGGTGAGGAAAAAAAATACTATAATAAAATGTATAGATAGATATACAAAAAAATCCACAGTCATATATTAGTTTTTTATAAATAATAATTTAACGACAGTGAATTGAATGCTCATATTAATTAGGAAAATCCTTCGTGTGTTACTTTAGATATTAAAAAAAAAAATTGTTCCGGTACGATCATTTTTTCGACCAATTTCCCTGCCACATACACTCATCCATACTCGGACGTCCAGAAAAAATTATGTTAAATATTATTATTTACTATGTTAAACAAAAAAATTGTTATTGAAATATATTTTATGTGCCTGACAAATTATTCGACTTGATATAAGTGTACTCTCATATTAACCTGTAAGTGCGATATAAATAACAAAAAATCAATTTCAGTTTCGAGAAAACTGCTTTTTTTGAAATGTCGAGAGTAGAGCACAACCTCAACGCTTCGTTTATGAGGTGTGCAAAACAAAAAAAACGACTGCAATAGCAAATTTCATAATTGGCGTAGCGGAATAGGACATAATTTTGGGACTACACATATGATATGGTACTCAAATTGAAGCTTATTTAAAGAGCTTTTATATGCAATTTACAGAAATTCGATAAATTATCCCATTCAAAAGTTATTTAAGTACGAAAATGAAGAAATGGAAATTTTTATGATTTTTCATGATTTTGAAAATTTTGAAATCATGGCATTTCTAAATTACTTGACCGATTAAGCTCATCTTCGAACTTGACCTCGGTATCTATCTGTGGAATAAGTATGTTGAGTTTGATAAAGATCCATAGTAAATTGGCGACGCTATCGTGGTGACAAGCCGCGTTATATCGTATATATATATATATAAACTTTTGAACCATATGTATTTTCTGACTCAACTCGTCGAGTTAAGTCGGAATATAGCAAAATTTCTCAAAAGTTTCGTCATGAGGACCATTGCAATAGTTAGATTTCTATGAAATCTACTAATAATTAGCCTATAAAAGTTTTTTTATGATCTTGATCATGATGAGTAGACAGATATCACAAGATTAATAGCTGAAATTTTTTTAAATCTACTCAAACTTTCAAATTATAATTTGAAGAATTTTTTTTTTTAATTTAATTTAGTTCACTTATAATTATGCCAAAGCCAAGGCCAAATGGCAATGAGAAAATATACATAAAATTTTAAATTATTGTGCAGTTTTAAATCTACATCAATTTAAAATATTTTACATTAAAAGTATTTTTAGGGTAGATAATATTATTAATACAAAGATAAAATAAAAAAATAATGAGAATATACTATTGAATTATTATTGAATTAACTGAAATTTTAAAGAGTCTTAGAGATATAGATAAAAAAAAAATTAAATTATAATGAAGCGGCAACGTAGGTATAAAATTCACCAAGAAATTAAAGACTAACAATAAAAATAAGAAAATTGACTAATGATTGAAGATCATACATTAAATTCCAAAATTTGGAATAATTTTTTTAAGACTCTGTTTTTCAAAATTTAACACAAAATTTTTTATTTTTTATTAAAATTAACAATAACAATTTTTGAATTTTAAAGAAATTCTATTAATTTTATTATTTAAAAAAAAAAAATTTATTAAAAATAATACGGCAGAAAACAATAAAATGATGGAAAAAAGTACATAAATTGCTTCAAATAATTTTGACTGAAATAATATAAAATTAGTTATTAAATTAAATACTTAAAAATTGACTGCTTTTTTTAGTTTTTGATATAATTTATAACTTTATATAATAAAAAAAATTAATTTATTGTTAATGTCTTTAGTATCTGATCTTATGAAGATGATTTTTTTAATTTATTCTACTGAATTTTAATACTGAAATAATATTAGAATTAGAATTTAGAATTTGGTTTATTAATTAATGCCAAGGCTCAAGCCAAATAGCAATTTCAATAGATAGTAAATAAAATTAAGAAGATGAGATAAATACAATTGTGAGTACATAAAATAATAAACAGTTGATTAACAACAGCAGAAGATACCAATTTATCAGATAATGAATAATTTGAAGCTAATAGTACAATTTATTTCAATGACTTCAATCACTATCTCAGATTCATAAATCTGAAAATTCTACTTTTCATTTATCAAAATTCAATTGATAATTATAGACTTGATTTTTAAAAACTTGTAATTAACTTTACCATTAACTTTAACTTGGTGAAGGTTACTATGTAATTAATTTAAGCAACTAATTAATTAATCATTTTAAAAACAACAGAAATCAAAAACGTTTCAGGTTTTGAATTTATATTAATGTATTAAGTCTAAATTATTTAACAACATGCATGTGCACATATTTATTTTTCAATATTATTATTATTTTAAATCTTACAAAACCTAATTAATAAATTACTAAATTTCAGAAAAAGAACCTTAGAAGTAATAAAGTGCGGAGTAGACGACTGCGAAAGCCCAAAAAGATATTCCTGCTCTAGGACGGGAATCCCTCTGTGCAGTCTGCGGTGTTACAAGGCAAACATCGCTCGAATACTAGCATAATCCAACCTTTGATTCATTAACCTACCTCATCATCATCACTTACATCTAATAATTTATAAATGTAATTTAAGATCCAAAAAAAAATTATTAATATCTTTCAAGCTACCTAGTTAATAATATTTAAATAAATAAATAGTAAATAGTGATAGTAGTAAAAACAATTACCGATTATGACCTGTAACGGTTTCCCGTTCCACGATCTTATGGTCAACACGGTCCAGACCGGTTCTCATACGTGTGAATGTACCAGTGTGCATCAATACTTCCAGCAGTGATATTCAGCATAGCATTAACAGTTCATTCTTGTTCCGGACAGTGACACTATCAGTTAAAAAAATTATCTAAAATTAATATTTTTAAAAAATGGTCTGATGTCATGATGAGTCTGTTTGTTTTTAATTTTTTGTTACTACTGTCAACTTTAATTGGTGAGTGTTTATTTTTTTTTATTTAATAATTTTTATTTTTGTTGATAGTAATTAATAGTAAAATTTGTTCTCAGCCGGAGAAGAATTGCACGAGTGCAAGCGTCAGTGTGTGAGTGGAAATTCATTAAAATGTCAGTACAATTTTGTAGTGACGGAGTATCATAAATCTAACACGTAAGTTTTTGTTAAAGTTTAAGAAATCATAAATCTAAAAAAAAAAAACATTATGTTACTTATTTTTTTTTTTTTATTATTTTATTTGTGTTTATACTTGCAGACCTTTCAATCTTTCCGCGCGCTCATCCGTTTCTATCCAGTTAACGGTATTTTAATTATAAACGCTCAGTTTTGTTGTTTAACATTTATTTACATTGCAGATCGAGATGTAGATATGTATTGTATTATTAAAGTTCCATTAGCGGTTTAACCGAGTGAATTACCGAGTTTTTTTTTGGTGCGTACTAGTTTTGGGGAAAGTCGGAACTAAAATTCAATCTAGTTAATTTATTTATTAATAAATTAAGGTTTTTAGATTCATATTCTAGGTCAGATTTATTTTAAATACGATTTATCTTTTGAAACCTAAAAAAAAAATTTTTTTCATCAAATTAAAATTTAATATTTATAATTACAAAAATGTATGACAAGTCAGTCATACATGAACAATTTAAATAGACAAATTTGTATTATTTTCTTGTTTATATATTTGAATTTTTCACAAAAAAAAAATTATTGATGTTATTTTGGCAACGTTGCATAAAATTAAACATGGCGCCGCACGCTTACATTTTAGAAGGTCACTTAAAATAAAAAGCCCATTGTAATTAAAAAAAAAAAATTAAATTTACAATCTTGCCATTGTATAGTTTTAATAAAAAATCATTCCCACTGATTATTTATGAGCAATTAAATGTAATAAGCAAAATAAATTTCGAGGTGAGGGTTAATAAAAATGGCGGAGTGGTAGAGATTGAAATTTACTCGTCAATCAGTCCTGCAGGTGGCGGAACTGTAAATTGCCGCCAATAGTAATCAATAAATTTAAAAGGATTTGCAGAAATGAATCAGACAATTGCAATGAATCAATCAACAGCGTCTTATTGATCAACGGCAAGACACCTGGACCTGCTATAGAGGTGAATAATCAATGATACTGAAATCAGCGGACATCTGAAAATTTTTTGAAAATTTTCTAATAAATCAAATATAAAAAAAATTATTTTTCAAATTTTGTGCTTGAAATTTTTTTTAATTTCTGCATAAAATTTTTTTACTTAATTTTTTCATAATAAGTATAATTGTTAAAAAATTGCAAGATGTCTTCATAATTATTAAAAAATTTTTAATCACGTAAAAAAAATTATTTATAAATTTTATTACAGGTATGTCTCGGAGATATCATAGAAGTGTTTGTTCACAACAAATTACCATCCAGCGAGGTTTCGTTCCACTGGCACGGAATATCTCAGCAAGGATATGTACACATGGATGGAGTTCCTATGATAACCCAGTGTCCAATCATGCCGTTCTCAAGCTTTCGGTATGATTTCAAACCCGAGAAAAATGGGACCTACTTCTACCACGCTCACTCAAGTACTTTTTTTTTTTTATGAAATATAATTTATTAATTTAATAGACATCTGACAATTTTTAGGTTTTTTTTTAATAAATAAATAAAAAAGAAATGTAAAAATTTTAAAAAACTGTCAGTGAAATTTTTTAAAAATATTTTAAGGATAATTAATTATGAAAATTAAATTAGCCGACATTTAAAAATTTTTAGAATTTTTTTTTATTGAAAAAATTATTAGAAAAAATAAAAAAAAAATTCCATATGTAAAAAACTATGTGCAGTTTTTTAAAAATATTTCTCAGTTCTAATTCTAATTTAATAATTAAAAAAATTAAAAACGTTTAATTTTAGTATTATTAATTAATTATGAATATTTTGTAAATATTTTTAATAATTGTTTTTTAATGAAAAAATTAGTACAAAAAAATGAAAAGAAAAAATTTCACATATACAAGATTTGAAAAATTATCCGTGTATTTTTTAAATTTAATTAAAAAGTAATTAAATTTGTAATTAAAAAGTTAATTTAAATAATTAAACTTGTAATTTAATTGTCGAAAAAAAAAAATTGTTGAACCTCGGCTAATTTTAGTATCATAAATTTTGATGTAATTTTGTAATTCGGCTGGTGCTTTCGCATTTTAATTAAATAAACAAATAAATAAAAAATTGCACAGAAAAAAATTACAAAAAATTCATAGCATACTTTTTTACATTATTTTTTTTTGCAATTTAATAATTTTTTAAATATTTTTGGACGTCTGCTACAACTATGCTCTTAAAATATATTTCTACAGCAATTTATTTCTTAAATAAAACGAAAAATTGGACAGATGTCAGTATCGCAATTAATAACAAGCCTTAAAAACCGTTTAACTTTTAAGTTTCTCAGCAAGCTGACGGATTGTACGGCTCCTTGATAGTATCCTCTCCATCAGACGATCAAAATCTCCAACGAACTCTGATTTTATCTGTAAAATCGTATCCTATTTATCCGTTCTCGCAATCAACGCCCGTCGCAATCGCTCTCACGATAAATGGCCAGGTAATTACAATCACAAATCACAGTTATTGACCGTAAATCACGGTCACAATGATGCTAATGCTGATGTGTAAGTGTAATTATTGTGCTTTCCAGGCCAATAATCATGAGCTTAATGTACACAAAGGCTTCAGTTATCGCCTGCGGTTAATAAATGCTGGAATTTTTTGCCCGATGGGATTTTTCATTGACAATCACCCGCTGGTAGCCTACGCTGTTGGAAATACTCTGGTTAAACCGACAGAAACAATGCATGTTATTATATTCCCAGGTAACCAATATTATAATTTATTCCGATAATTACCCCAAAAATTTACTTTGATCTCCGTCCTGATCGGATTAGTCTGGATCTATTCGTCCTTTGTCGCTTGAAGATTAAAAATCCGTCTCTCGTTCAATCTGCTGTTACGAGAGTCTCTTTGACATGCTTACAATATTCGGTCTATGTATTATATATATATATGTATATGATTATATATATGATGTTAATCATAATCATATTGTTACTGTCTGTAGATTTCTCAATTTGCAGAAGAAAATTTTGGATTGATAAAAATTTTTTTATTTAAGACAAGAATATTAAAACTAAAATTTTTTTTTGTTATTTCATGTCTCAGAAAAAAGTTTTTTTTTTTTTTTTTTTCAAAAATTACTTTGGAAATTTTTCCTTCAAAATTTTTATTTAAAATATACTTAAAAAAAAAAAATAAAAAATTTTTCAGATGTAAAAATCTATAAGATTTTTAATATTTATAAAAAAAATCGATTTTTATTATTTGAAAAAAATTTTTCAATTATGATAGTAATTATTTCTAAAAATTTTTATTTTCAATTTTTATAAGTACAATTTTTTACTAAGTATTTCTTACTTAACAATTAAATTATAGAAAATTAAAAAACTTCCATTTCAATACTATAAAATTTTTCAATTGACAGTTTTTGAAATTTTTATAACACATCAATAATGATAATAATTTTTTCTAAGAATTGCACTTGAAATTTTTCTTTTCAATTTTTTACTAAGTATTTTTTAAACCAATTAAATTACAGAAAATTGAAAAATTGTTCCATTTCGATATTATAAAATTTTTCAATTGATAATTTTTGAAATTTTTGTCACATTAATTATGATAGTAATATTGTCTAAAAATTCGCACTTAAATTTTTTTTTAATCTTTATAATTGCAATTTTTTCAATAAGTATTTTTTTTTTTAAATTAAATTGTTTTAGAAAATTAAAAAATTGTTCCATTTAAAAATTATAAAATTTTTCAATTGACAATTTTCGGAATTTTTATCATCAATAATTATATAGTAGTAATTTTTACTAAAAATTCGTACTTAAATTTTTCTTTTCAATTTTTATATGAAATTTTTCCACTTAGTATTTTTTATAAAAATTAAATTGTTATAAAAAATAAAAAAATTTTTTTATTTCAGTATTAAAAAATTTTATCAACTCAGTAACATAATCTAAAAATAATAATTTTTCAGGAGAAAGAATAGACTTGATATTGAATGCAAATAGACCGGTATCAAAATACCGAGTAGTGGTTCAAGGCCTGCAGGGCTGTAGGAATTTAATCTACGAGACGTCATTAACTTATGACAGTGCGGAATCAAATATCCCTCTTGGCCCTGCCAAAGATAAGGCTGACGATGATGATGGTGATCCAGTACATTATCTAGACGTCCCGGAAGAAATGCAGGGTCATGACTGTCGAAGTATTGAAAAAAATACTCTCTGTTCCTTGGATTTAGAGACAACATCCAATGTTATTATTAATAATGATCCACCGGCTATTTATTATCTTCCCTTTGACGTCAACTACTACCCGAGTATCACCGATGACATGACTGATTACACTTTTAATATTTATGGATACTCTTTCTATCCTTCGTACTTGAGTAAGTGTATTTAACACTATCTCATTTCTTCTTTGTATTTTTCTAACCTCTTCAAAAATTTTTCTTCGCTTATATTTCAGCGATTGATGGCAATCCCAAGGTGACGCAGATAAACAAGATGTCCTTCAAGTATCCGTCATCACCAATTCTCTCCCAACCCGAGTTAGTTTCCGAAGATTTGGTTTGTTCGATTGAAGAGCGGTCAATTGCTTGCAGGAACAATCCGGAGTTCTGCGAATGTTTGCAAGTACTGCAAGTCCCTGCTAAGAAAACAATCGAAATTGTTTTGATTGATGAAGGTTCGTTGTAATGTTGGTTTAATTAATTAGCAAACGATCCTGGTGCACTTTACTTATTTCTGTAAACAAGTGAATAATTAATTAATCAGTTGGTTCATTGGTTATTCAATTAGGGTTCGGCGGAAATAGAAGCCACGTGTATCATACCCACGGGTACACGGTCAGCGTAATAGGATACCAATCATTCGGACGGGCGGTAACAAGAGAAGAGATAGTATCTCTTGACCAGTCAAATAAACTCCCGCGGAATCTAATCAATCCTCCTAAACTGGATAGCTTCGTTGTTCCGAACAAGGGATACGTTATACTCAGTTTTTACACCGACAATATCGGGTATTGGTTATGGGAATCCCGTGGATATGCAACTACTCACAGTCCACCGATGCAATTTCTCCTGCAAGTTGGCAATCCAGAGAACATGCCTACAATTCCTATCGATTTTCCTACTTGTGGAAATCACAAAGGTCCTGATTTAATCTTTGAGGATGAATAGTTTCATTATAGATTAAGGATTTTGTATATGTTTGTTGTAATAAAATAAATTTATTTATTTATTAATAGGAAAATTTATTACTTTAAATTGAATTTGCAAATACATTTTTATCAGAGATGATTGGTCGATTATAAAATCTTTCAAAAGTCTTTGAATTTTCCGACCAACCAGTTAAATTTTTAAATCTACCTCTTCTTTAAGGGCAGAAGAAGTAGACTATGTCTTAAACTATTTGAAGAAAAATTATTACGAATACAGCCTTGTAAAGAAAAAAAACACGAATTCATCTACTCACAGTGTCTTTTGAAGCATTCATATAATCAGTTGTTAAAAACAAATTAACTGGATTTTTAACCAGTGAAGAAATTTTTTCTAAATAAAACTTTAAAGTTGATACAATATATAAGTAGGATCACTGAGGATGGGATCTTCAGAACCCTGCGTATCAATAGACTCGTCTGACGCCTTAGAAACGTTCGGTGGAACGTTTTCGGTATCAGGATCAGAGAGGCTAGACTGCTCTTGGTCGTCATCATTATTTAGAGTCTGCGAGAGCAAAAAGAGCTAGGTTAAGAAAAGCGACCAGGAAATAAAATAATAAATTTATTATTTATTTAAAGGATTACGAAATCCAACATCACTTAAATTTTAATTCTTAACCCAGTCAAGAAAGGTACAACAAAATCAATGAAGATTTGTTGCCCAAAAAATATGTTAAAAACATAAATAATTAACCTCAGAAAAAGAGTTATTTCCAGAAAGGTAATTTGACTTCTTTGATGCTTTTTCGATATCAATTAATTCTTGATATTTCTTGAGCTTCTTCTGAAGTTCATCAAGAAAAAGATTGCTTTCGTTTTTACGTTTATTATTCAATTTAAAATGTAAAAATAATCAAGATTACTAAATTCAGTTGGGGTAAATGCACCAATTATTGACCGATTAAGGTTTTCTTTTTCTCTACTAAGCTATAAAAAATCTATTAACCTTCTAAAAACAATTTGTAATGGATTTTATTAAAATTAAATACTTAATTAATAATAATTAATAACTATTTATAATAAAAATTAACAAAATTATATTAATTTTGTTATTTGAATGTTGAAATACTAAAATCACCAATTATTGACCGAAGAAACCCAATAAATGACCGACCGTTCTCCAATTAATTCACCGCTCAAATAATTATAAGTAATTTTGTAAACTACATGTATGTAATTAAATTTATGCAGTACTTTTGAAGTATTAACGACATCTTTAACAAAACTAAACACACAATATAATTTTAAATCGTACTTTTTCATAAAATAATATAAATAATAGCAATAATTAACAAAAAGTCACATTTCTTTAGGTCACAAATAATCAAAAATTAATTTTGATGACGATAATTCTTCTGATGCACTTGAAATTTTTTTATTCTTCTCCTTCCTTTTTTCAATTAAAGCTTTTTTACTAATTATTTTTTATTTTTTTAATTGCTTAGCAAATTTTTTCTTCTAATAATTCGTTCGTTGATATAACCGTTCACTAAAAAAATTAGAACAAAATAAAATTTAATAATCAAAAAAAATTTTAAGTATTATTTTAATTGTAAATATACATTTTATAATGATTATTTTTATATTTACAAAATATATTGAATGACTAAAGTACTTTAAAAACTTGACAGATTTAATTTTGAGGTGAAGAAGTTAGTATTATAAATATACGATGATTAATTGGATTGTGATAAAATCAAAGGGTCTAATAAATGACCGAATGAATTTTTTACTGGGGTAAAGGGCTTCTGACGGATCCAATAATTGACCGGTCTTAAAATAATATTAAAACATAATTTAACTTTATTTTTTCAAAAAAGTTGGAAACTGATCTTTAATTAACATAATAAAACTAAAATATTTCATATTATGCCGATAAATATCACTAAATTAATGATGAAATGCACTCAATCTCCAATTGTACGCTAGTTATTTTTGACCGCTTTATAACTGATATCACTAAATTAATTATGAAATGCACTCACTCTCCAATTGTACGCTAGTTATTTTTGACCGCTTTATGGCTGGTTGCGTTGTAAACAAACTCAGAATATTTTTTTAAAGCTATAATCACTGCGCAATTAATTGCGTAATTTTTTATTATGATGATTAAATGCCATATTTTTTTTTATTTTAATCCTTTAAGAAAAAAAACCCTTGTAAAATATTAATTAATTAACTTTTTTATACATCGGTCAACTAATTGGTGACCGGTCAACAACTGGTACATTTACCCTGGTTACTTGAAGTACTTTATTTATTTTTTTTTTTTTTCAAATGATTCTATTTTTCTTATATCAATTGATGGAAAATATCTGTAATTAATAGTTTTTATCTGTTTCAATCGAATAAACTTATTTTTTTTTTCTATTTAATCCAAAAATAATACATCTATTTTCAATTAAATTGGCAGATATATCTAAAAATTTTTTAGATTTTTATAATTAAATTATTTTGAAAAATAGTTATCAGTTAAATACTTAATTAAATTATTTTGAAAAAAATTTATAAAAAAGTTATAAGTGCAAACTTTTTAAAATGAATTTTTTTAAAAAATTTCAAAATTGTCAGATCTCTTCTAAATTCAGGGTCATATATTTTCATGATATAGTTTTCTACAATTGACATTATGCAAGTGCCAAATTGTCAAAATTAAAAATTTTTTTAATTTTAATTAATTGGACGGTGAAATTTAGTAAAAGTAAATTAAAAAAAAAATACGAAGATAATTCTTAAAAAATCTAACTAAAAATAATAAAATCCATGCAAAGTGTATATCTATATATTAGTCAACTCAAATAATTTTGAATTGTTTAAAATTATTTTTCTTAACAAGAAAAAAATAATAAATAATTTTGTCTAAAAAAAATAAAACAAAAAGCTATCAAGGAGCACAGACGGGTGGTGTAAATGAACCACACCGAGGAAATCCTGAAGGTGTGGACGGTAAATCAGAGTCCGAACCAATATGAAATATCAATTGCATTCCCGTTATAGAATGCCAGTCAAAGTGACAATGGAATGCCCAGTATCCTGTAAAATTAATTAAATTAATTTATTTACAACAATAGAACCTGAAAATTAATAATATTTCAAAGGAAATAATAAAAAAATAAATTTCAAACCAGGATTGTCAGCGCGGAACCGAAAAATAACCCATCCGCCCTGTGGAACAATAATGGAATCTTTAGCGGAAGGCCGGTCATAACCTTTATGGAGCCTCAGACGCTTTTGGTGCCTGGCCATAACTTTTTCGATGTCTGATTCCGAGAGGTTATCCTGTTCCGGAAGACTTCCCATGTCCAAAACGTAGAAATTTCCACCGTGGAGGTGGAACGGGTGGTTCAAAGCCGGTAAACGTTCTTTGAAGATAAAATTTATTAATTTGAGAAGTTAATTAATTGTTCATTATTTAATAATAATTTTTATTAAAAAGGAAGTTACGCTTATCGTAGATTATAACTTCGACAATAGAATTAACCGGGACATTTTGAACATGAGTGCAAGAGCAAGGCGTTCGGTCAGCGGCATGTTTTTTGCAGTAATCAGAATCCGGGGAATCACAGAAGTATTCATGGCCTTCGGGTTCGGTCAGTGGGGGCGCGCTAGGTGATTTGAAGGTTACGTTTCCCAGAACGCTCACCAGAGGGTTTGCGGCCCCAGGAGCTGAAAAATTTTTTTTATTTATTTATTCATTGAAAATCAAACGCCCATCGGCTATATACAAAAAAAAAAAAAATACAATTTTGATTTTAAATGTAGGAAAGAAAAACAAAATCAAATAACAGAGCAGAATTAGCTTAATTGCATATATTATAATAAAATCTATATTATTATAAGAGATTCCTATCTATATAGTCACTCATCACGATATCTCGGGAACCATCAGACCTAGAAACTTGAAATTTGGTAGGAATATTAATTTTGCCATGTAGAGGTCAGCTAAGAACGGATTTTAAGAAATTCCTGCCCCAAAGGGGTTTGCGGGGGCGTTAACAATGAAAAATTCCCGTTTTTAAAATATAGCTCCTATCAACGCCGAAATTGATAGGAATCTTCTGTAAGAGATATAAAAATAGTTTATAAACGAATTTTACAATAGATCACCCCAAAGGGGGTTGTGGGGGTAGGTATTAACAATGAAAATTTTTATTTTTCAAACTATAGCTCCTACAGACTTCAAATTTGATAAGAATTTTCTATAAGTGATGTAAAAATTATTTATGAACAAATTTTACGATATTCCATCCCACAGGAGATTGCGGGGGTGGGTATTAACCCTTTAACGGTCGACCTTGAATCTCTACTCCCAATTTCAATCGTCCGTCTTCTTCTTTAAGTGAGAGAGCTGTAGTCTGTTTTGTAGAGAAGGGGCTTGAAAAATAGTAGAAGGGGGCGCACGGACACGTTATACAGTCAAGCCGCTACTCACACAGCCGTATAACGCATTATGATTGGTTTTGCCCCTTTCAGGCTCACACCTAGATTTCTCGAGACTCCAGAACGTTAAAGGGTTAACAACAATGAAATTTTTAAGTTTCACACTACAGTTCCTACAGACTTCTAATTTGGTAGTAATTTTCTATAAAAATCGATATCTAAGTGCAGAGAGTTGACGTGGTTAGCTATCCTGTTGTGAGGTCCATAAAGAACATAAATTTTTTTTTTATAATTTTGTCCCAACCTGACATAATTTAATTTTTTAATAAGTATTTATATTATTTAAAATTGAAATTATTAAAGTGTTATAATAAATTTTAATTTTAAAGTTGTATCAAGAATAATAATGACTTATAATTTTAGTATTAAAAACTGTTTTTTTTCCAGTGTAAACCTTAAAAAAAAAAAAACTAATTAAAACTTACAGAAGAAAACTGGATAGTTCTCGGGATCAGATCCGTACAAAACATCAAAAGTATTAGTCTCATTGAAATTATGGAACCAGAATGGTAAATAAATTTGAACATCTGGATCAGGCTTGAGAATTTCTTGGTCGAATGGATCTGCAGTTTTCAAATTACTCGCGCAGAAATTGTCTTCCGCTGGATCACAAGACCCGTCCAGTGGATTATAAAGCTGTAACAATTAATTTCAATAATTAGTATAGTAATTAATTTTAAAAAATAACTGAATGAAGTTACAAAAATAATTACAGTGCCACGAGGAAGTCCATCGCTGTAAGTCGGAGGATCACTAGCAGAATCTGAATCTTCGTCGCCTTGGTACTGGAGCTTTGCCAATTGATTCACTTCAGTCTCTTGACACTCTCCGAGTCCACGTACTTGTATCCAATATGTTTTGACGTCGTTGTTTGTGTTGATGACAAAATCAACGCGCTCGCCAGAGCCAATTATAATCGTGTCGACTTCGACTGGCTCTATATTAGCCGCGTCTTGGGCGATCAATAGCAATTTATGATCTTCAATGTTTAGTTGTGCCAAACATACTGTGGTAAATGCATTTATCAGTCGGAACCGGTGTGTGGTATTAGGTTGGACGTAAAACGTTTCCAAATCTACGTCAGTCTCCGTTCCGTTTTCGAACTAAAAGAACGAAGAATTAATTTTTCTGCCTAATATGTTAAAGGAAGTGATGTTGAAGATACTTACTGTGTAAGTTCCACGACCGTTAATGAGAATATTTTCAGCCCTTTGGGTGGACCAGCGCTTACGTAGCCCAGGAAACCGCTCGGTAGCCAGCTCATGCATCCAGTCGCTGATGAGGATCACGTGTGCTGGATCATCAACTTCGTAGTACTGCGAATTGGGATCGTCTTCTCTTGGCTCGCGAATTATCAGCGGCCCGTATTGCCCGTCCAACCGATGGACCGAGACATGGGAGTGGTAAAAAAAAGTCCCCGATTCGGCGGCTAGAAACTGGTACCGAAATCTGTCGAAAGCTTCTATAGGACACTGAGTAACGTAAGGCACTCCGTCATAGTGCTGATAATTACGCTGAAACAATCCGTGCCAATGCATCGTCGCTCCGACTCCTTCAGCCATATTTTCAACGTCCACCACAATGTAATCATTTTTGCAAACCTGCAACAGATATTTAATAAATAAATTTAAAACAATAATTTGCTTCCGGATTGCGCTTTTTATTTGCCGATATTGTTCACTGGGTATTAATTTTTGGAGTATATATTTACCTGAATGTGGGGGCCGGGTATCATGCGATTAACTGAAAACACAGTACGTTCAACTCCATCAACGAGAATACACTCGCAGTCCGCTTTGTTTTTCAATCCTTGTGTCGTCGTCGGTTGGCACATTTCACAAGCGCTGAAATTTATATTACACAGATAATTATTTCTAATAAAATCCAATTTTAAATTTGTATTGACATTATTAATTTTGTTCTCATTATTATTACCATTATTGTTATTTAATTTTTATTACAGATAAATTTAATTAACTTTTTTTTTTATTGACAATGGCTAACCTGACACAATACTTATTTCAACCCATATTTTTTTTTTTTTTTTATTTACCAATAAATATATTTTACAGCTGAAAAGGAAATTCAATTTACACTTATTTGTACCCACTATAGTTGTACCAAATCAAATTTCCTCTTCAATCCTCGAGCGTTTTCAATGTTCATTTCTTTCCTCAAAAGAGGAAAGAAATGAACAATAAAATTTACCTGCTGAGTGCCGGAAAAAATTCCAATGAAAAAAAGTAGTAGCAAATTTTACGTGTCTCATTTTTGCTACACTCTCGCATACATTCTTCTGGAGTGCTTAATTTCAGTCCATCGTCCGCGCATTGCTGGCCAGTTGCAAAAATCGGCAGGATAAAAACCAGCAATATTAACATATTGATCTTTTTACAGACTTCCATTATTGCCTTTTATACTAAAAATATTAACAACAGCCACAAACTTTCGACTATTAGCTGACCTTTGACAAAGCCACTAATAATTTATTTTTTTTTTTTTCGCATCAATAGATACCGCGCGTTTTAATTATTCGGTCATTATCGCAACGGCTATTAGTTTACAATGTCAACGATTAGATACATAGATAGTATGTTTAATAATTCAATGTCAAGTTAGTTTGTTCTAACTAATTTTTTTATCCATAAAATATTTAACATAATTTACTTTTTATAAAATAATTAAATATTCAAAATTATTAATAAAATTCTTCAATAGACCAACAATATTTTTCAATTATTAAATGTCAGAATTAAATTATTTCTTCTTTAAACTATTTTAATGTTAGCCTAATTTATTGATATATTTTCTTCTTATCAATTGTAAATTATTTATTAACATTAATATGACATTGAAAATATTCTCTCAATGTCGTATGAAGTAAACAAATTTTTCAAGACCTCCTGACGTCAAATATTTTTATTGCACGCCTCATAAGCGGAACGTAAAGGTAGTGAGTTATAAGTGCTCTTATACTCTCGACATGTCAAAAAAAGCAGTTTTCTCGAAACTGCAGTTGATACTGAAGGCACATAAAATATATTTCAAATAAAAATTATATCAAATTCGGCAACGTTTCGTTGATAATCTCAGCTTCATCAGGCGTCTATAAATCAATAATAAATAGGGCTGTACAATTTGGCCGGTTAGGCCGGCTAAAAAAGTTAGCTAAGTTAATTAGCCAGTTAGCTGGCCAGCTTAGCTAATTTAACCGATTAGCAGGATTAGCTTAGCTAATTAGCCAACTGCTAAACCGGTTAAATAGCTAATTTTCTAAATGCTTTTTGTTGTATACTGAAGTGCGTATAAGTATTGAAATTAATGTTAACCTCGTTTTTTGGGAAAAAAATCATCAAGAACAACAGAATAAAACGAGAGTAAATTAATTTAATGACCTATGAATTAATTAATTTTCTTTTTTTAAATAGAAATGAATTCTTTTATCATAAAACAAAGTTGTGCCAAAGGAAAAAATATTAAAAAATTTTTTCAAAAAGTTATGCAAAATTCAAAATTTCACCATTTTCAGGTTTT